TCCTTCGGATGATCCCAGAGATGACAGAGTAGCATCATACAATGTAATCTCAGGGACATCAATGGCTTGCCCACATGCCACTGGGGTAGCCGCATACGTCAAATCATTTCACCCCAATTGGTCTCCTGCTGCCATCCAATCTGCTCTTATCACCACCGGTAGGGCTATGTATAAACGTGATCAGTTATTTTAATTATGTACAATTTTAGTATGGCCTAACCACGTATATCTTGGATTATTTGTAACGATTTTGCAGCTAAACCCCTGAGTCCCAATCTTAACCCTGAAGCCGAATTTGCATACGAAGCTGGCCAAATAGACCCTATTAGGGCTCCATATCTTGGTTTGGTATATGATGCTACGGAACTAGACTACATAGAATTTTTGTGTACACAAGGCTATAGTACCAAATTATTGCAATCTATTACCGGGCACAAGAGTAGCTGCTCATCAAAAACTAATTATGGAGCACTCAGTGATCATTTGAATTATCCTTCTTTTTCACTTTTTCCTCCTCGAATCCAAACTCCATCAGTGGGGTTTTCAATAGGACAGCCACAAATGTTGGATCAAAAAGGTCCACATATAAAGCTAAGTGGGACTTTGTATTCTTTGTTGCATGGAAGTGGTTCTGAATTGGATTGACCAGCTAGATTTAGGATTGGTTTAGGTGCTGCAAGGGGACTTGCTTGGCTTCACCACGGTTGTCAGCCTCCAATTATGCACCAGAACATATGCTCAAATGTGATCCTCCTTGAAGAGGATTTTGATGCTAAGATAATGGATTTTGGGTTGGCAACGCTTACGGCTTCTGATTCTCGCCATCATGTGCATCCATCTTTTGGTGATTCTTCAAGAAGTTCAAGAGGGGCTAAGGGTTACAAGCAGAATTGCAGTTAGCATTGTCAGTTTCAAAAAAATAAAACCAAAACTTATTTAGCTGATGTGGTATATTCTAAGCCATTGGATTTTTTAATCTCATAATCCGTTAAATCCATGTGATCCTTTTAAATCTTATATGTCTTGATATAAATCTTTTAAAATACATAAGTAAAAAGTCTTGATTATAAAAAATCCATGAATAAAATCTTATAAGTCATTACATTCTGTTTAAATCCACTGGACTTTTTTATCTCTAAATAATCTTTTAAAATCTCAATTGAATACACCCCCCTTAATTTATGGTAGTGTATTAATTGGACATGAAATACTATACACTTTTCCTAAAAAATGTTTTAAAAAACCTCGAATGACAATTTAAATTAGTTATGCACGACGTGTATGATAGGATTAATTGGAATTATCTCTTTACTTGCTTATGAAATTCGGTTTTCAACAAACTTGGATTAACTTGATTAGAGAATGTGACAACTGTTTCTTGTTCAAATTTAATCAATGGTAAACCTTATGAAAATATTACACCTTCTGGAGGATTAAGATAGGGAGATCCGCTTTCATCTTATGCGTGGAACCTTTCGACATTTAAATAACTCTGAACGCTTCTCTTCTCATATTAAAATGCTATTAAATAATTTTCAATCTACCTTAGGACAAAAGGTCAATCTACATAAATCTACTTTTTTTTTTCTTATCATGTTGATGGTGGAATAAAGGACCATATAACTATAGTATCTTAGACATTCCTCACAAAAGTACTATTTTACTGAGCCTTGGGAAACACATTGGTAGTCTTCATCAATGAAACCAACAGTTGCTTATAGATAAATTCTTGGCTTGGCTTGAGAAGCTAGTTGCATGGAAGCTGAGCATTCATGAGTTTAACAAGAGAGAGAGAATGACCAGATTTTCTACTAGAAATAGAGGTTTAAAGCAAAGGATTTTGTGAGAATTTGCTGAGGAGAGAGAGAGAGACAGAGATTAGGGTGGAAGAACGAGCAATGATTTTATTAAATGGGTTGGCACGACACGGCCCGATAAATTAAATGGGCTGGCATGGCACGGCCCGATAAATTAAATGGGCCGGGCCAGCACGGTACGAAAATGTTAAAAGCACGAGTTTAAATGGGACGGGCCCAACACTTGTTTGGTAATTTGTGGCTGTCGATGTGGGTGTAAAAGCCCAGAAGCTCCAAATGTTGCTCCAATATGCAATTTCCTTGGTTGGGATTCTCCGGCAAAACATCTCTGAAGCCACTTGTGGAGTCATCACATACCTTGCGTCAAGTGCGGGAATCAGATTCCCAAATTGATATCCTCGTTCAGTAATGTGAGTGTGCAGAGAGTGAATGCTTGGGCACGCCACACACACTGTGTGCCGATCAATCCCACTCACTTGCGTATACAACAAAAGTAGAACAAAATGAAAACCCAAACCAGAAAACAAGACTACTTGTGGGTTTCTTGAAAAGTTATAATGAGTTTTTAGCTATAGAGATAAATGGTTATCTCTATAATGGATTAACCCAAAAAGTCCAAAATACAGTCGAAGATGAATTCGATGAACCCACGTTCCAAAAATGGGTATTAAAGACCTATAAAACCCAAAACCCACGACCCCCTCTCTTTCTCTCAGCCATAACACAAACACACTTCACTGCGGGTAATATATAAACACCTCTAAAACTCATGCCATCTCTCTTAGAGAATTGAGAATGTATGTTCACAAATAAAAGTTCTCTTTTTATTACAATCTTACTCGGGACTACTTTTATCATTGAGTTGGCAAGGACTGATTTTGGATGAGAGCAAGTAACCAGGGGCAGGCAACAGTAAGTTTGGAGCTTTTAATTACTGGTCAAATTCTAATGAGGACCCTTGCATGCATTAATTATGGAATTAAGATTCTTGAAATTAAGATTTTAGACACATGTGATTAATAAATAACCAAGTGTTGCTGCAAAAGTCCAATGAATCATCCAGTAACATTTACATACTTGTTTCTCATTTCTCTACCTTTTTTCTTTTTTTTTGTCATTCGTGGTCCTCAAGGTTAGTATGTCTAGGGTTATGCAATTGAATTAGTTATGCAAGACGCTTATGATAGGAAGATGTAGGATGAAATATGGGTCAATTATGTTGTGAAAAATTAATTAAAATAAGGGAGATTCACTAATATACCCAATATAGGAGCCCAAATTATAAAAATACCCCATATGAAATGGACTTTAGAAACACACCCAAAACTCATTTATAACATAACAAAAAGGCTTTTAACTTCTTTTAAATTACAAAACTGCCATTGATTTCTCAAAACAAACCCAACCCCAAAACATATAAACAAGCCCAAAATACTCAATAGGACATCAAAGTAATTTAATAATCAAAATTAAATTCAATAGGGCCAATTGTCATTTTTTGAGTTTTTTTGTTTGTTTGTCTATAGAAATTAAATGGTATGGGGTATATTTATAGTTTTAGTGCTAAGAATGGGTATTTGACTAAATATCTCTTAAAATAAAGGGGCTCAAAGTTGGAAGGAAATCAAGGGAGCTTTAGTTTTAAAACACAATATAGTTTACTAATTTGGAAGATAGGAATACAATTTCATCTAATTAGCATAAGGCCAAAGACCAAAATATGGTACCTAATTTACAAAAATATCATTAAAAAATATCAAAATTACACACAATGCCACTCCTAAAGCAAGCATACTATGCCACATGTCCATATCTATCCAACCACCACCGCTGGAATCTCGCCGCCGGCCACCACCGCAGGAATCCCGCCGCCAGCCACCACCGCCGGAATCTCGTCGCCTGCCACCTTCTGCAGGGGATCAACTCCATTGCCCTTTATTCACCTTTAAAAAAAAAAAGATTTTGTGTCATTGAATGGACTCGAACCTTGACCCTCAAAGGAGGAAGGTTCACTCACAAACCACTACACCAAACATGATTTTGCAATATTTATTCAATTATACAATATTTATATAAACAATCAACGGTTTTAAATTTTTTTTTTAAAAATATCATTTCAACACTTATTCACACAAAAACTGCAAATAAAAACAGAAACTGTAACAAAAATACAATGTATGTATCAATTATGTTTAAAAAAAACAAAAACAAAAACAAAAACAACTACAAAAACAATTGTAATTAAATGAAAACTGCAATGCAGTTTCCAGTTTCCAAAAGTCCAATTTTGAGTTGGGTAGTTGTACTCTTTTCTTGCCCACCCAATTCCTCATCTGGGTAGCCCCTACTCTTCAAATTGGTGAGGTTGAAGGCCAAGGAAAGAACAAAAATCAAATTGTAATTAAATGAAAACTGCAATGCGGTTTCCAAAACTGCAATTCAGTTTCCAGTTTCCAAAAGTCCAATTTTGAGTTCCCTTTCTCTTGGGTAGTTCTACTCTTCTCTTGCCCACCCAAATCCTCATATGGGTAGCCTCTACTCTTCAAAATTCTAACATACATAAGGCTGAAAACTTTGACATTATAAGAAAAAGAGTGAAAGTTTATGCAAATTGAAAATGTTACCAGCGTCTGTTTGAATAGCACATCTAATGGCCTTTCCATCTGGTGAAGGTATCTCCCGGCCCAATCAATGACCACCTGCAATATCCAAAATACCCATCAGACCATAACACATTTGACAAAGAAACTAAGATCTGTTGTTTTTATTTTATTTTATTGTTTTTATATAGTAATCTTACGAAATGAAACTAGTTTCTTTGCCAAGAAACTACTTGGCAAAGAAATGAAGCACATTTAATCTACAATCATGCTAAACTACTAATTATACACAACAAGTTTAAGTTTCCACATAACTCTAAATAGAATTTACTAAATTCTCTCGGGTGGAAATAATGGGAAAATTTGCTGGTGCTGTTGGAAATTACAATGCTAATCTTGTCGCATATCTTGATATTAATTGGCCCCGAATTGCTGAAGAGTTTGTAACATCTCTTGGGTTGAGTTTTAATCCCTATGTTACACATATTGAACCTCATGACTATATGGCAGAACTCTTTCATGCATTTAGCCAGTTCCCATCAATTTGGGATTTTGACGTAAGCTAAATGGGACAAATTCAATACATCGTACACAAATACCAACAACAAGTGAATGCAAATGCAGGCCTTTGAAGTAAAACCCAAACTCAAACCAACTCAATACACACAACTTATCTAATTTACATCCAAAACGTAATTGAAATCTTGAAAAAGCAAAGACACAACCTCACCTCGACCATCTCGTCCGTAGAAACTGCACAAGCCGGCAATTTCTCATTCGAAACCCTAATTTTACAATCAATCTCTTTCCTAATCTTCTCCACCACCTTACCGCCCTTCCCTATCACCGACCCGACCGGCGCTACCTCCGCCAGAAACCGGCACGAAACCACCCCACCTCAATCTCCTCTTCCCCCCCACCATTAACATTTTCGAGGCCTGTAGTTCTCAACCAAATCTTGGAACGGATTGCACTGGGAGCGACGACCACCACTACCCGGTCCGGCGACTTGACTTGGGCTTCTTCCATTCGGATCTTGGCCCCTGTGGCCTGTCGTAGCTGCTTGTTCACACTACTTGACTTTCCGATGATGCCACCGATCTGGGTTCCACAAGCGTTTTTGCTACCATAGTACAATTCTTGTGCGGTCAAGTTTCTCATAGGTCTCTCGATATGATCTGATTTTTTAAAAAAAATATTTAAAAAAACCAACGAATTTTGGTCACTCTTTTAAACAAAAAGGGTATAATTGACATTTCAATATTTAATGTAAGGTGGGCCAACGAATTTGGGCATCTTCTTTGGTCAAATCCAAAACAAAATTCAATTCCTATGTATTAAAACCAAAACAGAAATACTTTTTGTCTCAAATACTAATTACTAAAGATAATTATGTTTAATACCTAATTTTCCATAAGGAAGGGATTTTCTAATTGATTGAGGAAGTTTGAAGCAATTGTGATTCTGTTAAGATTTGTATTTAATTTAATGTTTAATTTTATATTTTGAAGAATAAGTTACTTATTAGGATATTATTTTCCTATGACTTTAGGGTTTTTTTTTTCTTCTATTTAAGCCAACTCTTGTATTTGACAGTTTATTCATAGAGCCGCATTTTCTCTTTCTTTTCTGTTCATCTCCTCTTCTCAGAACCCTAACTCAGCCAAGCACTGCCATAACCTCCATCTTCTTCTCTATATCCATGGAGCGTACGGAGCTTGCTGTTGAGAACAACGATCTGCCTCGTCCTCCGCCGGATCTTGCTGTTGAAGAGTACTACGATCTGGTAGTTCTATATGATTTCAAACAATCAGAACAGAGGCTTTAATTTGAGACAATTTCAATTTCAATTTTATGTTTACTTATCGCTTTGCTTCTTGTTGTTGGGTATTGTTGTGGCATTAGGGATTCTCTGAGGTTACTTTCGATATAAACTAGAAGCTGGATAAGCTTGTCTCGATTGTGGTAGGCAGGAATTCGCTTTCCCCTCCTTCGCAGGAGCCACCAACTGACTATGAAATTGGCAATATGGAGCTGCTCGAGATTCTTTGGAAGGCGAGTGGGAAGCTTGACGGACTGTTATTGTTCATGTCGAGCAAGGAGTGAAGGCATAACCCTAAGTTCCAAAGCCTTATTATCACCCTTTAAACTTCTGCGTTTCTTATTTTAGACTTTAGCAGTATAAATTTGAAATAGAGAGAGGAAGGCTAGTGGTATTCCATTATTTCTACTGCGTTTCTTATTAGAAATATGTTAAGACTTTCCATGGGTTGTATAATTTGATAGTTTGTGTTTTGTGGAATTGTTTGGAAAATGCCAGGTCTATGACAGGAAGGGTGGTTCTTCGAGACAATTGGCAATATGGAGCTGCTCGAGATTCTTTGTAAGGCGAGTGGGAAGCTTGACGGACTGTTATTGTTCATGTCGAGCAAGAGTGAAGGCATAACCCTAAGTTCCAAAGCCTTATTATCACCCTTTAAACTTCTGCGTTTCTTATTTTAGACTTTAGCAGTATAAATTTGATATAGAGAGAGGAAGGCTAGTGGTATTCCATTATTTCAACTGCATTTCTTATTAGAAATATGTTAAGACTTTCCATGGGTTGTATAAATTTGATAGTTTGTGTTTTGTGGAATTCTTTGGAAAATGCCAGGTCTATGACAGGAAGGGTGGTTTCGGAATTTTGTTAATGTTACAGCTTTGAAAGTAGTCCCTTCCTCTGGATGACTCTTTACTTGGCATAATAATCAAATGCACAATACTAGAATTTGGATCCTTGTATTACAAATGAAGTTTAATTTATGTTAATGTCTTAATTGGACATGAAATACTATACACTTTTCCTAAAAAATGTTTTAAAAAACCTCGAATGACAATTTAAATTAGTTATGCACGACGCGTATGATAGGATTAATTGGAATTATCTCTTTATTTGCTTATGAAATTTGGTTTTCAACAAACTTGGATTAACATGATTAGAGAATGTGACAACTGTTTCTTGTTCAAATTATCTCTTTAATTGATCAATAACCTGATGGATGCATTCAAGATCTAGTAGGTGCAATGGTAAAAAAATATAGGTATAATGGGTAGCGCTATCAGTTGAATAGGGTGAAAGAAGATGAGATGAAAATAAAGGAGAAAGAGAAGGAGATGGGGCATCTTCAGCTTGCACTATAGCATGAACAATTACTATCCATCCTGATATTAGCACCATAAGGATTCTCAAGTGACTTTCCATCATTGTTTTTACACTTTTTTCCTTGAAATGAATACTTGTATGTTTAAAGGTTAATATATGTGCTATAAGGTCCTTAAGATATGTTCCCTTTAACATATATACTTCAATGGTCAAAGAATTTAGATTTTATGAATTTTTATTTTGTGGTAACAAGAGGGGCTAAGAGCCCAGAACAAATAGACTAAGCACAAACAACACGGGACCTGGACACCCCAATAATTTTATGAATTTTGTTGGCACTAAAACTGAACAGATAGAGATGAGTGCAACTTACAAGAGATGTGGACGATCCAAGAGATCGATTGAGTGTTAGATGGAGATTCTTCCTGTCCTCGGATGCTGATCCTGAATAGAAGATAAGCGAAGCTCGTGAGGTCTATGGAACCGGTGTGGAACCAACCTAAGACCCTCCGATGCTCAAGTAAGATTGTTTCTAAGAGCTCTTGTTGTTGACCATATAAAAGTATAAAAGTCAAGCTGAAAAGTCTTACCCCTGTATTGTAATGAAATGGCCTATTTATAGAGGGGATTTTGTATGCTCTTAGCACTTAATTTCGATGTGGGACTCGTGGGAGGGCCCTACGAGGTTGACATGAGTCCTTATATATTTCGGGCGGGTGCTTCGAGGTTGATTCTGCAGAATCAGTAGGGAATACCGATTGTAGACTGTGCTGGGCCTGTAGCGATCTTTTGCTACTTTGAGACAATACCATCGGTAGCCGATGGTGATTGTTCGGAGCCTTGGGCACTTGGGGAGTTTAAGTGATCCACGTGTCAATTGATGAGTGGAGGATCAGATATGGTACAAACAAATTTTATTATAGCTTTAAAGTTTTATTTTGAAAGATTGTCTATATATATGTCGCAAAAGCTTATTATGGTAAAAAAATTTAGGATTAACTAAAAACCCCCAAACTTGAATGAAAATTATTATGGTGATGTTCTCTAATCATTCACTACTAGATTTTTGTATTTGCGCGACGAAGACATTTTGGTCACGCAAAGTACATTTGTGTCGCACAAATAGTAATGCGACAGAAGGTTCGTCGCGCTAAATCTGTCACGCAAAGATCGTAAAGAATGACTTTGCGCGACGAAAATATTCAAATAGTCGCGCAAATAGCGCGACGGTAAACCTTCGTTGCACCAGATGTCGTGGGACGATGAGATTTTTCGTCGGTCAAAGTTTTGCGCGACGAAAATACATTCGTTGCATTAACATAGCGCGAGGAATAATAATCGTCGCGCAAAAATAGAGGGACGAGAGTACATTCGTGTCTAAAATATTTGCGCGACGAAATACAGTCGTTGTAAGGACACTGTGCGACGACTAACCTTCGTCGCGCAGGTATTGTGCAACGAGAGTATTCGTGACTCAAATATTTGCGCGACGAAATATATTTGTCGCAGTTACTTAGCGAGACAAAATCTTTCGTCGCGCAAAATAGAATAAATTCTTTAAAATTTATTTTTACGGTTGTGTATTTTCAAAAAAGGAAATTTGCGAGATGGAAAATATCGTCGCGCAAAAATAAATATATTATTATTAATTTAAAATTAAATTTAATTATTTTGTTAACAAAAATAAATTTGGTTTTTTTTAAATTTAAAAAAAATAATGAAATGAAATTGCAATTAAAAAAGGTAATAAAGAGAAATATGTAAAATGTTATAACATAATGTATTTAGTACAATAGAAATATTTAAAATGTAATTAAGAATGTTAAAATCTAATCAAACAACCCTCCAAGATCTACATTGTCGTCTGGCAAATGCAGCTCGGAGGTTTGGACATTGTTGACAGGGGGAGAGGTGTGGTTGCCATGCT